GCAGAGAGGAGGCTCATCTTGGGGATGACCGTGTGTGTGTGTGTGTGTGTGTGTGTGTGTGTGCAGAGCAACAGGGGCAAGCGGCCTCACGCGCTCTTGGGCAAAAGGGAGGGAGAGGCGGCGAGGCCAAGGAGGTTGGCAAGAGAGAGGAGGGAGGTTATGGTGCAGAGAGGAACAAGAGAGTAGAGTGCTTCCCTGACCGGGAATCGAACCCGGGCCGCGGCGGTGAGAGCGCCGAATCCTAACCACTAGACCACCAGGGAGCGTCGCCCGCACCCGACGGTCCCGACTCTCGCCTCCCGGACACAGACGCACAGCCAGCCTCGCAGCCAGTGCCACAGCCAGACTAGCGGCCGCCCGGCCCGCCTGCTACACACCGTCGCCCGGCATTACGCGGCTGCCGTTCGGCGCTCGCTCGCCGCCTGCGTCCGTCCCTGCCATGCCCGGCGTGCGGCGTCCGGCGTCCGGTGGCCTCTGCCTCTTCGCCGGCAGGGTGGGAGCCACCTCCCTCCCGGATTAGACGCAGTTCTCCTCCCGCTCGCTCGCCACAGCCTCAAAACGTCTAGCGCCTCCTTCTTTGGGGCAGGAGGGAGGGCGGGAGGTAGCTAGGTAGGTCGCGCGGTCTCCGCGACAAGGGGGGAGAGAGAGAGAGAGAGAGAGAGGGAGGTGCCAGACTGGCCACTCTGGGCCCTGGACCTTGGCAAAAGGGGCACAGCTTGCGTTGGCCGGGAATCGAACCCGGGTCAACTGCTTGGAAGGCAGCTATGCTCACCACTATACCACCAACGCCCTACCGCCGGGGAGCCACGCACACGACGCCGGGGACTGCCAGCAGACGGCGGACACCGGACACCGGACACAGGCGCCGTCGCGATCGCCCGCCTGACAACTGACTCCCCGCGCCCGCCCGCCCCACGACGGGGCCTCAAGCCCAAGGCCAAGGCCAAGGCCAGCGCCAACCCCAACCCCAACCCCAACCCCAACCGGGTTCGGCCGCCGCGCGCCGTCCCACGCGCGCCTCCCGCACGCACACAGCCTGCCTGGCGTGTGCGGCGCTCTCGCCTCCTGACCGCAGTCACCCTGCGCGCCAGGCCGGGCCAGGTGACGCCACGAGGGTCACGAGGGCCACAGGGACCAGGGAGCACCCGGGACCGCTGCGAGCCGGCAGCTCACCACCCGGACCCGCCTGGCACGGACCTCTGCGCTCCGCGCTCCGCGCTCCGGCCGCGCGAGTCGCACGCCGCCGCCGCTTCGTCGCGAGGGCGGCGCGTGCCCAGGCTACAGGCAGAGCGCCGGGCCAGGTGACCGGCGAGGGACCCGAGGGCCCGGTGGCGGGTGGGCATGCCTGGCAGCGGGCGGCCGGAGCCCGGCTCTTGGATCCCGTCGCGCCCGAGTTGGGGTCGGGGGCCAGCGTCCCCGGGGCCGCCCATCTGGCTCAAAAAGGATGCCGTGTCTCCCCGTCGGGGAATCGAACCCCGGTCTCCCGCGTGACAGGCGGGGATACTCACCACTATACTAACGAGGACGACGACGGCCACGACCACGACTAACGGGACGCCGACGCCGGTCCCTCTGGCGGCCTCCGTCCGATCCAACGCCGACCTCCGCACCCAACCCCAAAGCCACCGTCTCGCGGCCAGAACGCCGCTCGCCACAGGAGGACCCGGACGCTCAGCCCGCTGCGACCGCCGCGTCGCCAGGTCCCGATCCCGCCCCGCCCCGCCCCGCTGCGGAGCCGGGCTCAGCAGGACAGCCCGAGCGCGCCACACACGGCCGGCCCCGCGTCGGGTGGGGCGCAGGTGCGGGGAGCCGGTCCGGGACCCCGAGCGGCTTGGGCGCCTACGAGCGTCTCGACGTCGGGGCGAGGCCCGCGGCTTGAGCGCCCAGATCCGCACACGAGCCCGGGTGCCCCGTCGCGCCCGGTGGGCTGGGCTCGCGCGTGTGTGTGTGCGCGCGCGCGCGGGCGCTCCGGGTGCCAGCCAGGCGAGCGGCCTCGCGCCCACACCCGCCGTCAGGATGGCCGAGCGGTCTAAGGCGCTGCGTTCAGGTCGCAGTCTCCCCTGGAGGCGTGGGTTCGAATCCCACTCCTGACAGCTTCACCTTTTTGGACACCCGCAGCCCGAGAGACCGCGTCTCCCGCCTCCTTCCAGAACCTGTCTGTCCAGCGCCGCCACTCCAAGTCACTCCCGCAAAGCAGCCCATCCCTGACGCGTCACACCGGTGCCCGCAGGAGCGCCCTCCTCTCCGCACCCACCAGCTACTGCTGGAGGGGAGCGGCTGGCGCGCGCGGGAGGGTGCAGGCAGGAGGCGGGCCGCCCCGAGCAGCCCGCCCGCCCGCCCGCTGCCAGCGCCTTCCGGGGAAAAGAGCACCTCGTCCACCCCGGCCCGACGCCGGGACCGGTTCGCCCAGCCCTCGCGCCCACCATCTCTCGCTTGCCCATTGCGTTCCCACCGACTCCTGCGGGAGGCGCCCACGGCGCCCGTGCTGTCGCGCAGTGAGCGTCGAGGCTTCTCCTCTGCGCGGGCGGCCATTCCCTGCGCACTCCTGGCAGACGCTGGGCGCACGCACAGCCGCCCGGCCGCCGGCTCGCCCGTAGGGGCGGCCTGGACTCGTGGCCTAGGCGTCCGGGAGAGGCGCGCTCCCCCCGCAGACTGGCTCAGCCTCCGTGTGGGCACGGGGGGGGGGGAACTGGGACTCTGCTGTCCGTGGCCCTGGCGCTCCCCTGCCGGGTGCACGGAGCCCCGCGGGGCCCAGCAGGTACCTGTCAGGTGCCAGGGAAAGGGGAGCTAGCTGGAGGTGGGACTGAGGGCGAGCACAGGCTGTGACAGGCGTCAGGGGAGCACGTTGGCCATGGCATGGGTGGTTCAGTGGTAGAATTCTCGCCTGCCACGCGGGAGGCCCGGGTTCGATTCCCGGCCCATGCAGAGTCCAGTCCCTTTTGGTCCCGAGGCTCGCTCACGTGGTCTGTCTGGGTCCAGGAGCCTCCTGGCCGCTGCCAGCTCCACTCCAGTGATCCAGCGCCTGGCCACCAGCCTAATCGCCTCTCCTGAGCTTGTCCATCCAACCACTGCATAGCTCTGCTACAGCAACACTCTCCAGTCCACTTCAGTGGGTTTCACACGCTTTCTCACGCTCCAGCACACTGGCTCGCTCGCATCGAAGAGTCTCCATGTTTCTTTTATCGTGCACACGACACCACCAACACCCCACACCTCTAGTCGCCCCTCACACCGCACACTGCTGTCTGTCCCCAGGCAACCTGGCAGAATCTCTCTCTCTCTCTCTCTCTCTCTCTCTCTTTCTGTCTCTGTCTCTGTCTGTCTCTCTGTCTCTCCCTGTCCATCTCTGTCTCTTTGACTGTGTCTCTGTCTCTCTGTCTCTCCCTGTGTGTGTCTCCTTCTCTCTCAGAATGGAGACTTGCTGGACATCTCTTAGACTTGTCCCTAGCCCCAGACTTTTTTGTGCTTCCTTGGCGAAGGAACACCCTGGTGGGGACGAGGGTGCCTCCTTTCCCCTATCGCATCGCCCTGGACAACTTGGTAGACCCCTGAGAGCATCCCACCTCCCTTTGAGAATCGGCAGGTGGCGTTTCCTCCAGGTCTCTCAGCACGCAAACAGGTGGCTCGTTGAGCTATAACCTCTCCTCTCTTGGTTCATCCCCAAGAGCTCGTTTTAGTCTCAATATCACCATATGAAACATATACAACTGTAGTTGCTTTTTTTTCTTTTCTGTTTTCTTTAATAGTTTTACTCTTGGGGTCACTCCACCCTGCTCCCGAATAAATACAAGAAGGCTTATTCTTACTTATAACTGCCCGGCCTTAGCTTGGCTTATTTCAGGCCAGCTTTCCTGAACTTAAATTATCCAGTCTGTCCTCTGGACTTCTACCTTTTAGCATTCTGTCTACATGCCTTTCCTTCTTACTGGCCGGCCATGCGGTCAGGTGGCTGGGCCCTGGTGTCCTCCTCCCCTTCTCCTCTCACTCCTCACCTTTCTTCTTCTGCCATTTCTTCTCTCCGCCTGGCAGCCCCGCCAACTCCTGTCCCGCCAGGCTAATGACGGGCCATCTCTTCATTAGACCAGCCAGGTGATACAGGCAGCAAAAGAACAAAAGCAGCACATCTCTGCAGGTTTAACAAATATTTTGCAGAGCAAACGAAGGGAACGCATCTAAAAGTAATATGGCATGGCACAGCAAAGAAATCCATAGATGCTGTTAGAACTCTGGAACATTTCGAACCTTCAAAGTTCAGTCTCTTTAAACCAACCAGAGTCTCTTTCAAAGGTCCCTCGTCGATTGCTTTGTCCCTTCGCTGTGCTACCCATGGGCTTCTGTAAATTCCAATTTCAAAAAAAAAAAAAAAAAAGTTGGTTTTTGTTTTTTTGTTGTTGTCGTTTGTTTGTTTTTAACACCTTTTTCTTTTCCAAGGTAAACATGTTTTGCGGCGAGATCAAAGCAGAATGGGGGCGCGATCGTGATCACAGGAAAGCAAAACCAAAGTCCGACACTGTTCAAAGCCCAGTTTCTGTCATCTCCAGTTCACTAGCTGTCTTGTGAGTGATGGAGGGCGTTGGCATTCACACTTCTGTAGGCCTGTGGTCCACAGCCCTTGCATGTGGCTTGTCTAGGTCCTGCAACGAAGGGGACTGGGACCAGGGAGCACCCAGTAACTCCTTGAGGGGAGTGGTCACCACTTGGAGTCGCTGGCCCACTGCCCAGGCAGCCTGCTCCTACACCTGGCTTGCCAGGTGGTCTGCAAGGTACCCGCGGGCCCGGTGGGGGGTGGGCATGCCAGGCAGCGGGCGTTGGGCCAGGGGACAGCTCCCTCGGGGCCGCCCTTCCGGCTGAAAAAACGATGACATGTTTTTCTGCCGGGTACCCGGTATCCTGTGTGGTAGGCGTGGTTAGTTACCACTATACTAAGGAGGTTAACTTCTTTTCTTTCATGATTCTTTCCTCAGTGTGACAAGCCCGTTAGGCCAGCCAGTCTCTAAAGAGGACTTCCTCCTGTGGATGTTGGCCAGAAAGACCCTCCCAACAGGACTCGGATCCTGGGCTCTGTGAGACTACCGTGTGGCTTCCTCTGTCCCACCGGGCCTGTGAGGTAAGAAGTGGCTACAAGTCTCACACATGCTCTTGTAATTGGCTGGTCGGGGCCCTGAGTGTTGTAGCGTTGAGTGTTGTGTTAAGGGCAATTCCTAACAGTAATTTCTACTTTTAGGGACTTTTGTGTGTAGGAGTTTGGTTTCTGTACTCTGAGGCACCGAGACAGCTAGCCTGACATTGTAGGCAGAGCATATTCTAGGCACGAGCCTAAAAGTGTTGTATTCCTGGAATCCTCAGGTGACTTTCCAAGTGTAATCTTTGACAAAAAGGGCAATAAGCAACAGGCAGAAAAGAAATCGGAGGCCAGTTCATATAGACTGTGAAAGTGTTAGCTTTTACTTCTAAACCACCAAATATTTTGGAACCTTTTTGCTTTTTAGGAATATCTTTTCCCATGCTCTGCTGAGACCAGACTGTACTATAGCAAGGATAGAAGGGAGAAGATGAGGGGGTGCAGGAGAGGTTGCAGCACTCTTTGGAGAAGATAGAGGCCTGTGCCGGAGTAGTGTGTAGAGTAGATGAAATGTGTTTAAAAAAAAAAAAAAAAATCTAGGTAAGTAGAACCACCAGATAAGGTAGCCTTCCTGACTAACTGGATATGGTAATAGAACTGAAATGGGAGGTTGGTGGATCCAACGATTTAAAAAAAAAAAAAAATCTACAAGTTTTACAGTTACTTATTTTACCATTTTGAAAGAGGGCTTAATGGTTTAAAACAACCCATGCTTTGGGGCTGGAGAAATGACTCAGGGGTTCAGAGTACTTCAGGTACTCCGAGTTCAGCTCTCAGTACCACCTGAGATTCAAAACTCAAGAGATCCAACACTTCCTTCTGGACCTTCAGGCACATGTACTCATATGCATGTACCCACACACAGACACCCATATCTAAAAAATTTTATAATTAGTATAATAAGAACAACCAGTTTCTTATTATCTCTTCAGAGTTAATAAAAACTGGGGGTAAATTGAACATTCTTGCCTCAAGCCTCCTGAGGTATGTGGAGCCTTTAGCGATTTGATTGTGGGAGGAAGGAAAGTGGAATTAAGTATCTCATGTTTCTTGTGTTTGCTGACAGAAACACGAGGAAGGGTTATAGCAGTAGACAAAGATAAGAGCATACCAGTGACGTAATGAGCATTGCTCTACAGGACATAGTAGTCATCTAGGGTTCCTTGGTGGTGTCTGTAATCAGAAGGTAGACATAAGCTATGCATTTGTCCTGAATTCCTTACACCAACTGATGAAACTAAAGTGGTCCAGAGACTCCCCATACACCCATCCACATCATCAAAGGACTGATTGCTTTGAGGGTTTAGTCCAGTGAACAGGGCTGAGCTAATCTCTGTATAAAACCAGGAGTTTTCTAAATCATTTTCCTCTACACATTTGATGTATAGTATATGTAGTAGCCACTACCCTTGAAATACTTAAAGTTGAGTCTAAACTGAAATATGTTGGAGGTAAAACAATATATGTTAGCTTTTCGGAAATTCAAAAGTGTAGCAGGCACACAAATGATTAGTTTTGGATGCTTGGCCTTAGCTCTTATTTTAATCTGTTTTTCTTTATCTACATTTTCACTCTGGGCTTTTTACCTTTCTTTATGTCTATCTTACTTTTCTGTGGTCTCTGTGTATGGCTGCCTGGCCTCTTGACAGCTGCCTGGCTTCTGACCCTGGACGTGTCCCTCTTTCTCCCTGGTTCTCTTTATTCCTTCTCTCCTCCCATGAGTCAAGATTCTTCCTATTTATTCTTTCTGTCCACCAAATATTCCTCTTCAGCCTAGCCATTCAGCTTTTTATTAGACCAGTCAGGAGCCTTAGGCAGGCAAGGTGAAACAGCAACACATCTTTACATAATTAAACAAATAATACAGCATAAACAAATGTAATACACCTTTACACAGTTAGAGTAACATCTCACAACCTAAACAGATGTAACACATCTTTACATAGTTAAAACAATATTCCACAACACTTCTAAACAAAAAGAAAGGTTTTAACTTTAACATAATAAGACTATATATAATAAGAACAATCATCAAGCAAGAATTATGTTTATACTATCTAGTCCATTTGTATTTTGGCAAAATCAAAGAAAATACTCTGTTATCTATCATATCTTGGTGAGTCCAAAGCTCTGTATCTAATTTACCTTCTGTAATATCTAAAGAAAACTATATGTAGTCTTCAACTCCATCAAAGATCACAGAAGAATATAGTATTACCAGAGAAAACAGGAAGTGCAGTGCAAGCCACTTCCAAAACAACAGACATCTTGCTGCCTGTTCAGTCACCCAAGGTTCCTCTGCAATGTTGAGGCATCCATCTTTGATCTACAGGCCTAGAAGATTTGGCAGACTTTTCAATGAAGAGGCAATTTTGAAGGATTTCCCCACATTTTTGGGCAAAGTTTGGCAGTCTTTGTGTCCTGCTTGTCCAATTTGTTCAGCATACTGTGAGCAGTTAAGGCAAGGTCTGTTTTTTGCCCAAATACCTAGCTTTGCCACAGTGGAAGCAAACTCCATTTGGAGGTTCTTTTTGTGGATCGTCCTTTCTAAAGTAAATTGGTACTGCCAGGAGCAGACATATCTTACTGTCATAAAAATCTTTAGATTATTATATATGTTAAATGGCATATTCTGTAGATCTCTGAAGTGTTTGAAGATCACCTAAAGTATATCTCCAAATGATCTTGAAAACACACATAATGTGCCTGCAAGTTCGATCATTATAGATGACTAACTACTAACCTGCATTTTTAAAATTATACATTATATTTTTTAATGAACTGCATAAGCACAATGCGAAAGCATAGAAACATACATGCAGTGTAACAAAATTAACTTAAAATTTGTGTCAAGATACCAAAATTCATACCAATGTAAAATATTTGATGTTAATAATTGTCTTTTTATCCTATATTCCCCCTAAATGATGACAGACATCCATAATCCATCGGATGATCAAAAACCACCCACCCAACCTCTTGGAAATGTGGATATTGTATTCTCTAGACTGTTTCCTGTTCTATGTGGATGACAACATCTTTAGGGAACCTGAGAAAATTTAGATAATGGTTAAGTTCTAAGAAGACTAGCTATAAGTTTTGTTGTTCAGTCTCTGTGCAATGGGAAAGCACAAGGCTTATCTGTAGTCCTGGCTAGAATAGTCTGTAAGGCTGGACCATGTCAGCCAGCAGCCTGGAAGCTGCTCTGGATGCAGACCTCTGAGGGAACTGCAACAGAGACGCTCTGAGAGGCTGGATCACCTGGACCATCTGTTTCATTGCTCTGAAAACACTAACTTTCAAAGGTAACATACATATCTGCATTAACACAAGTATGGACTGTGCACAGTACACAAGTACACAAGCCAGCCAAACATGATTTTTTTTTTTTTTTTTTTTTTTAGTTTTATGCTTGAGCAGGTAAAATATACATAACCTGTCTTGTAGTTTTTCTAGGTTTATTTCTTTATGTCTGTAGCCAAGATTTTTAGAAGGTCTCCCCTGATCAAACCTGATGTCTATTAACCTTGAAGGATTCCACAGCTTCTTTTTATTGCCTGTGAAAACAAAAGCATAACTTCTTCCCCAACACAGTACATTTTCTGACTTCGATTTTAAAGTTAAGGCATCCATGAAGTATGTAGGTTGGCTTAATTTAGCAGTGCCTTTCAGCAGCTGCTGCTCTCTCATCAGCATTCAAGAAACTCAAAGTTAGCACAACTCCATACAGGATCCAGACTCCCCGTACATTTTCCTTCTTTATGTGTCCCCCCCCCCTTATATTACTCTACTCTTTCTTTAAAGACGTTATTATTTATAAACTGTCTACTTTTTTCTATGACTGTCTATGCCTATTTTTCTTTTCATTTCTAAGGCTACATACATTTTAAAACACAGTGTAACCTGTTTAGAATTTTGTTTTGTTTTTTGTTTTTTTCCCATCTGGACCAGTCTTTACTGTGTGTCTGTGGTCTCAGGAGCCAAACCTTAAACAGGCTTTGCACTGGTGGCTGACTCCACCTCATTCAGTTCAATGAAAGTCAAGCTTTAGGCCCCATGAACCTGGCTGAGAGTTGTGTTCAACTGGGAGCTGTAGTCAATCGCCCTAGCTCTTGGAAGTTGATGACCCTGTCCTGTGGCATTCTGGAGGAGGGAGAAGCTGTTACTACTTAGCATACCTGTATGGCAGAGCCTCTTAAAGGAGCTGTATCTTTTTTTCTTAGTCTTCTTTTTCTTTTGTAGTTTTCTCAAGCCCTAAGCTCCACATTGGAACAACAAGAAAGTGTGAAATACTGAAACATTCTGAAACATTCTGACCAAGGTTGTAAAGCATTTACAATTCTGCAAATGTGGGAGGGAGGCTAGCCTGAGGCATGACAAAAGGAAGATCACCAAACAGCCAACATCTCCCACAGAAAGATTCTGTTAATTTACATGACAACTAAACAAGCATGCTCAAGTTTCTTGACTTTTGTTCTGTCTGCTCTGTGAAACAGTTGTGATAATTCCAAGTACATTATGTCAGAGCTGAGTTGAAATTGTAGGAATCCTAGATGGTGTTGGAGATTTGTTTGGCATGGAAACCACTCCCCTCACCCCATATTTGGTGTCAGAAGTGTGTAGATGGTGAGTATATACACCAAAAAAGTATGTGTTTTAAAACATTTAGTGTGTGTGTGTGTGTGTGTGTGTGTGTGTGTGTGTGTGTGCATTCAGAACACAGAGAAAATCAGTTCTTTCCAACTACCATGTAGGTTTCAGAGGTGGAACGCTGGTCATCAGGCCTGGCAGTAAGTGCCTCTACCTATTGAGCCACCTTGCCCGCTCCCATTTTCCTCTTTTGAATAATATTTATGCTATTACAATTTCTTTATTAACAAATTTATCCTTTATACTTTAAAATGTCATTTTTGCTCTGGCTATGGTGTCACATGCCTTTAATCACCTCTCAGGTGGTTCAGGCAGACTGATCTCTGTGAGTTCAAGGTCAGCCGGGTCTATATAGTGAGTTCCATGTCAATCAGGGCTACATAGAGGGCAGTGTCTCAAAAAACAAAACAAAGACTCTCAATAACTTTCTTACATTTGGAGGGCAAGGTCAGACCTTTGTATATAGTATAGAGACATTCTTGAACTGTTTTCTTCAGATAATTATTCTTGTTGGGTTCCCCCCCCCCTTTCTAATGAGTCTTTCAATAACCTGTTTAGGAGGTCTTTATCTTACCTGGGTCAAAATTCCTTTGCCAAAACTCCCTTAGGACTTTCTGTATTGGCATGTGAGGCAGCACAGGAACTCGTGAAGGCAACCTAAAATCAAGGCCCCAGACACTAAATGGAGACTCTCTCCTCTATTTTCAGTGTTTTCCCTCAGTTTCCTTACTAGCAAACAGTAACTTGTGGTTTCCCCAAGGTTATAACGAAGGGCTATATGAAGAAAGTTATGTCTGTCAAGCAGATTCCACATCTTGTGTGCCCAGTAATTGTTAAGTTAGCAGAACCAGAGTCTGCTGACCCAAGATTGCCGAAGAACATGTGTCCATTTCCTTCCTCTTTCCTTAGATTATCTCCTAAACCCCATCAGACTCCGATCCAGCTCTTGAATAACTTTGAAGACGCAGATGTTTCAGAATGTACATTCTGGAAGCCAATGGCTGCTTCAACCACTGACAATTTTGCTGCTGTTTGGTGAGTAAGGGTCATTCTGAAACAGAACAATTTCAGTCTCTCCTAGCAAGTGGATTCCAGAGACCAGGACAGAGAAGCAGGCCTGAGTTAGAAGCTGGGGAGAGATAAAGAAGGGAAGAAAGCCAGGTCTGGTGGTACCTGCTTGTGATGCCAGCACTTGTGTGGTGGTGATGGGAACCAGGAGTTCAAGGATAGCCTCAGCTATAGTGAGTTCCAGTTCCAGGCCAACCTGGCTCCATGGGGACCCTGACAAAAGAGAGGGTTTTAGAGCTGGGTGTGGTGACCCAGGCCTTAGTCTTAGCAGTTAGGAGACAGAGGCAAGTGGTTAGTCTGGTCAACACAGTGAGTTCCAGGATAGCCAGAGTTACGTGGTGATACCATGTCTCAACAACAACAGGAGGATTCTAACTTCTTACTACTCTAGTGTCTTTTAAGTTCAGAATTGGCAGGTACTTTTACAGTTCCTGGAAAGTCTGTCTTGCGTCAAATGTTCGTACTTGCTTTGCAGCTGTACTAACCCCTTGGCAGGGTGAGGTGAGGAGGATACAAGAGGTAGAAACAGACTCTTGAGGTGGGGAAGAGGCTCCAAGCCCACCCTGACTTTCCTTATGCATGGTTCTATTTGCTTTCATCTGCTTCTGTTCCACACTGATCCCTTCTCTTCTTGTTTACAGCTCTTGCAGACAGGCAGACTGGTAAGTTTGTGCTTCCCCTGTTTTCACAGTGTTACTTCCTTACAATAAAATGCTTTATTTACTTTGTAGGGAAATGTCTGTGTTCTACCAAGCATCAGGCTTGGGTTCTGACTGGGCGGCTCTCTCACAGTAGGGTCTGGAACATAATCTTTGCTAAGATTCCAACTGGATTCCCCAGCAATCCAAGGGAAAGAGGCCATTGCAAGTACACAATTATTTTAATGGTCTGAAGATTGACTCCAGGACCTGGGTGGGGTGTTTTCTATAAGCTTCTACCATTGAGTTAAACCCAACCCCTCTCAAAAGTTATTTTGAAACAGAGTTGCTAAGTTGCCCACAAGTGGTCTTAAATGAATTAGTATGTTTCACAGTCAGATCTTAAATGTTTTATCCTTTCCATTGATAGATTACAGTTGTGAGTCATCATTCCCAGATCTTTACTGGATCAATGACAGGGACTCCCTTTTGGAATCCACAGTCTCTCAAAGTTTACTTGTTCACATTTCTTTTTGTTTGCCCACTCTCAGCCCACCTCCCGAAGGCTGTGGTGAAACTTGAGCCCCCATGGATCCAGGTGCTGAAGGAAGACAGTGTGACACTGAAGTGTGAAGGGACCCACAACCCGGGGAACTATTCCACCCAGTGGCTCCACAATGGGAAATCTATCTGGAGCCAGGTCCAGCCCAGCTACACGTTTAAAGCCTCAAACAATGACAGCGGAGAATACCAGTGCCAGATGGGGCAGACCGGCCTCAGCGACCCTGTACAACTGGGAGTGATTTCCGGTTAGTAGACACAGGCCCAGGAAGGAGTTGGGATACCAGGAAGTTGGGGGGTAGGGTGGGGTGCATCTGCTTTCTGCAAGGTTTGCAGGAAAAGGGGTCGCCTAGTTTCTGGGAAGCATCACTGAGAGTCTTCTTGAAAGATGTTTATCCACACATTTCCCTTTTCACCCACTCAGTTTAGTACTGTGTTGAGGGGACAGCTGTTATCTGGCTCAGTCCTGGTTGAGCAACAGGTTCAAGGTCACAGAAAGGTTGCTTCGAGAGAAACAGAAGGAAGTTCCCTGCTTGATAAACACCACTTCTGTGATGGCAGTGTGGGGACTCACGGAGACTGTAGGCAAGTAGGACCTGCAAAGACGGGAGCAGGCTTGATAAGTATGAGGAAACAGGAGGTGAAACCCCCGAGAGAAGAACCCAAATCCGGAAAATGAGGCCTGAGGTGAGGGAAAGGGAACTGGCTTGTAGAAAAGGATAGGCTGTGCGATGACTTTTATCCTTAAATGAGATGAAAGCCTATAAAGTAGTTTTTAAAACTTGTTTTTTGTTTGTTGTATAAAATGACATGTATTTGTAGAGGACAATATGTGACATCTTGTTATGTGTATATACTATTCAGTTTTTAAGTTGGATTAGGCATATTTATCACCTCAAGTATTTATCATTTCTTGATAGTATAAACATTGAAAAATCCTTAATGAACAGTACAGTACCGTTGTCTATAAATATCTTACTAAACAGAAGCACCTCAAAATGCCCTGCTCCTATCTGGCTATAAATCACTACCTGTTGATCAACCTTTCCCCCATTTCACCCTCTCCTCTCTTTTCTTCCCAGCCTCTGCTAACCACCATTCTACTCTCAACTTCTACGACATTGGCTATCTTCAATACTCTAATATGTGTAATATTGCATACTCACCTTCCTATGTCTGGCTTAACTCACTTAACATACTGATTTCTAGTCCATGTTGTCACAAGTAGGATTTATTCTTATGGCTTAATACTACTCCATTGAGTCATCAAGAGATGGTTTTAATTTAAGGAATATATATATATACATATACATATGTATATATATATATACACATATATATAAAATGAAAAAAATATACAAAAGAATATATATACATATACAAAGGAATATATATATATATAAAATGAAAAATATATATATAATGAAAATGCATTTGGACACTACTTCTATCCCACTTCAATATCTGAAAATATGAGAATGCTTTTAGTTTACTTCTGATCTACCTTCAGGGCACCTAAGCCCTGAAGATGGTACATGTAAGTACCTAGTGTTTTAGGTTCTCCTGTTTAATAACAAGAAGGTGATTTTACAAACCACTTTTGGGCTGAGTATGGTTGCACATGCATTCAATTCCTGCACTCTGGGGGCATAGGTAGGTGTATCTGTAGGTAGGTGTATCTCTGTAACTTCCAGATCAACCAGGGCTACATAGTGAGACTGTCTCAAAATAAAATAAAGTAAAATGTTTCTTTAAGGTCCCAATGCCAGAGCTACACAATAAATTGGAAGCCAGACTGGGCTAGATAAGGCCTCTCAAGAAAAGGAAAACAAGCCTTTAACCCCTGCAAGAGGCAGAGGCAGGAGATCTCTTTGAGTTCCAGGACAGCCAGAGCCACCATAGTGAATCCTGACAGATCTCAAAAACAAAATAATGCAAACAAACAGATCTTGCCTAATGGGGCATGATAGCTCTTACCTGTATGTAATACCAGCTGAGGCAGGAGGCTTGCTACTTGCTGGAAGTTTGAGGCTAGCCTTCATTACATAATGAGTCTTGACCATCCTGAGCTTCAGGGTCAAAACTCCTACATTGTCCCAAAGGGTCATATGCTTTCATTTTTTTTTTTTTTTTAAATATGGGTGTCTACTCAGGGTGTGTTATGCTTTCAAATGTTCATGTTCCAAGACTGAGATGTTGCAATTGAACCCCCCCCCCGGGGGGGTATAGTATTAGGAGGTGGTCCTTGGGGTGTTAACTAAGTCATGAAACTGGAGTTCTTATTATGGAGAATTCTGTAAGAGTTTCTATAAACTAGGAAGTGGACTCTCATCAGATGTAAACATTTCTGGCCTCTTGCTTTGGATGTCACAGACTTCAAAATTTTGAGAAGTAAATGTATATTGTGTATAAGCCATAGAAGTTATGCTTTGAACATTTGTTTATTAAGATAGAGCATCATGTAGCCCAGGCTAGACTCCAGCTCACTATCTAAGTGAGGGTGACCTTGAACTCCTGAACTTCATCCCAGGTTCTAGGATTTCAGACACTCATGCACTACCACATCTGGCTCATGGGTGCTTAGTGATTGGACTCTGTTAAGCAGCAAAGAGGCTTGCAATTATTCAGGCCCTACTCATTGCTAATATGGTTAATGACTACTTACCTCACTTTCTAAGATTAGTTCAAAAGTCATATCCTTAAATTAGTAATCCTAGTCCATAAAGACTATACTTGCAATACACTGAAGGATCCAGGATTCTATAACTCCTATAACTACTGAAATTAATGTATTTCCTGTATGAGTATAGTATTTTTAATCCATAAAACTGTTTTAAAAATTATTTTAACATCTCATAGATGCGATGTTTTTCCTGTGTGAGTCATGTGGGTCTGTGTAAGAGGCTGATGCAAGGGCTTTAGGGTTTTGTTTGTTTTTGCTTTTTGAGACATGTAGTTCAGGCTTGTTGTATAACTGAGGGTGACCTTGAACACACTTCCCAACTGGGTGCTATGAACTGAACCCAGGCCCTCATGCATGCATTCTACTGAGCCAGAGCTCCAGCCCCTTGATGTCTTACCCCTAGCACATTTTCTTTCCATCTTTCAGACTGGCTGTTGCTCCAGACCCCTCGATTGGTGTTTGAGGAAGGGGAGACCATCATGTTGCGGTGCCATAGTTGGAGGAACAAACTCATGACCAAAGTCATATTCTACAAGAATGGAAAATCTGTAAGATATCATCATTCCTTTGGCAACTTCTCCATCTCCAAGGCAAATCACAGCCACAGTGGTGATTATTACTGCACAGCACGTTTAGGAAGGACACAGTACTCATCAAAGCCTGTGACCATCACTGTCCAAGGTATGGGGACTCTGTTGGAAGGGAGTAGAGGAGATGGACAAAGGCTGAAGTTATATAGTCCCACATGGAGATCTAGGAATGCCACAGCAGCAAAGCTGGATGTGGAGGCAAAGAGGAGAGCTGTAAAGGCCTTGCCAAATGATGGCAAGTGGGGCTCAGCCCAGAGCTCCCCACTTGCAGGTGTTAGACGACAAGGCTATTGGGCATCAGTGAAACAGAGCCTTGCCATTGATACACAGTACACAGGTTCTCTACGTTCCTAGGCATTGATAAGCGCCAAAGTTTTTTTTTTTTTTTTTTACTTCTGTATCTCATACAGATGTGGCCATAGTCACCCTTTAGAAAATGCAGATTTAGCAACATATGGGGGACTGCTGAGAGATAAAGTCTATTGAAGGCTTCCTGACTTATGTATATGCTGTTGGCTTTACTTTAAGTACTTGTGATGACTTTGCACTAGGGATCTCACAGTTTATTCTGAATTCCTGTCTTAATGACTCATTTCTCCCAATTCTTCTGACTCTCCTACCAGGTTCAGCAACTACACCCGTTGTCTCTCTACTTTGGTACCATGCAGCTTTCTGCCTAGTGATGTGCCTCCTGTTTACAGTGGACACTGGCCTTTATTTCTATATACAGAGAAAACTTCAAATCCCAGCGGAGAAGTGGAGGAAAACCCTGTCAGTCAGAAAATGTCAGGCTCCTCAGGACAAGTGACATTGCATTGTATGGCATAACTACAGTGGCAACAGCGTTTTTTTTTTTTGTTGTTGTTGTTTTGTTTTTTGTTTTTTGTTTTTTGTTTTGTTTTGTTTTTCAGCCACACTGTTGCTTCTCTTACAGTTTTCCTTGAAAGCAACATAGAGCTAGGCCCAATGTGTGGTCCTGTAATTACAGCTACTTAGGATGTTGCAGCAGGAGGATCAGAAGTTCAAGGCCTGCCTAGGTGCCAGAGTGAGTATAAGGCTAGATTGGATAACTAAGTAAGATCCCATTTCAAGAAAAGTAGGCTGGGTAGGGAGTGTGTAGGTGTGTGTTTAGATGGCTCACCAGGAAAGGGCAACCACTGCTAACCCTGCCATAAGAGCAGAGTTTGAGCCTTGAAACCCAGATGACAGAAGAAGAGAACAAATTCCTGAAAGTTGTCCTCTGACCTCCACACACCCACGATGGCAGGTACACTTACTCTCTACATGCACACACAAAATAAGAGAAATTTAAATGTACTTTTTTTTTTTTTTTCAACAAGAAAGGGAGAAAAAAGAGGGCTGAGAATTGGTGGCAGAGCTGTTACTCAGTTTACATGATGTCCTGAGTTTGACCTCCAGCAATAAAACAAAAACCAATCTGGGCTAAGGATCTCCTTTTTGTGGCTTCTTTGCTCAAAATAATTTAAAAGCTTTCCCTTGTACTTAGAAGGAAATCTAATGACTTTTCAATGTTCTTTAAGATGAGATCATATGATCTTGCCCTTCTGATCTCATTTCCTCTGCTTTTTCTTGTCTATTCTTGGTTAGTTTTATTCTTTTGTGAACACAGCACCTTTACTTTCTGTTTCGGGGATGGCCTTGCTTACAGAAGCCCACATTCTGTTTCACTGTGCACTTGTCTTCCGTTTAAATAACAATTAGTCCAAGCAAAACTCAGACTGGGGCTTGATCCTCAGTGCTGGGAGGTGGAGACCAACGGGATGCATTCAGATTAAAAGGGATGATTGTAGCCATCCTGCAGCTTAGCAGCTCTGTGTCTCACCAATGCCCTTACTCCTCGTCCTTGAATTAAAGTCTCTGTAACTGCGAACTAAATAAACCTTTTTTTTTTTTTTTTTTAAATAAAGACCCTAGTCTCTTAGGCTTTACTGTAGCAACAGAAAACAATAAGATAATGTCTTTTGTTTTTACTCAAATGTCATCAGTGAGGGATTTTTGATTATTCAATAGTATAACCTTATTCCTCTACAACATTCCTAAATCTCCTCCTTTTTACTTATTTTTAATCAATGTAACTGTATGTTTGCTTGTTTAGTGTGTGACTTTCCTCTTCCATCAGTCTCTCTCTCCCCCTTCCTTCCTTCTTTCCTTCCTTCCTTCCTACCTTCCTTCCTTCCTTCCTTCCTACCTTCCTTCCTTCCTTCCTTCCTTCCTTCTGAAAGACCCCCAAGAGACCCCAAGAGTTTGGAGCCTGTCAGGGGGAAGGCCCTTGCCCCCAAGAGATAAGACCAGACCACTGGATGCAAGTGCAAGAGGTTGTTTATTGTTTACACAGGTACCTGTGGACGCTTCAGTCTTTCGGGGGACTGAGCGTGCTGAGGTTAAAACTCAGGCAGTTTATATAGGGTTGGGGTGGCAAGAAGCAGGCTTACAGAAACAGAAGCATGGTTACAGGGATTTCATTGTTTCATCTAAATGTAGCAGTTGTAGTTAACCAAGGATAGTTGGTTATTCGGGTTGGGCACAAAGAATACAAAGAATTCAGTTATGACTATCTCAGCATACTGGACACTGTCCTGCTGACCTTGTTTTGGTCCAAGCTGCAGACCACAGATATCTGGTTGGCGTTGGATGAGAGCAGCACCTGGTTCCCTCCTGTACTTTTCTCATAACTTGACCTTGGCAAATTAGCAAGAGCAATTTAAACAGGCAATAAGCATAGTGGGGGTCTTTCACTTCCTTCCTTCCTTCCTTTCTTTTTTTCCATTCCTCTTCCTCTCCTTCCTCCTCCTCCTTCTTGAGACAAATAACTCTGACTGTCCTAGAACTCACTATGTAGCCCAGGTTGGCCTACAAACTCACAGAAATCCACCTGCCTCTGCCTCCTGAGTGCTGGGATTAAAGGTGTGGGCCACACTGCCTGGCCATTTCCCCCCTTTTATCTTCTAAGATGCTGACCAGAATGCTAAGTGTGCTTGTCTGTGACACTTGCCTTTCTTACTGTTTTCTCAAAGACCTCTAACCTCTCTTTTTAGCTGCTTGTAGACCTCCATTGCTGACCTCAAAAGGTACAACTTCTCCATCTCCACCCTCCTGGCAGCTTCTGGGATTTGCAGTGGGTCTACTCTGTGGATTTCCCCCAACTTCTAATGAAATGGTCCTTGAGTTTCCTTATGAATTTGCTTTTAGGTTCTTCTATCCATGAGACTGAGAACTTGCAAAAGGGAACTCTGATTCTCTAGAAGAGGCTGGGTTTTCTGGCTTTCTGAGTCGGGTCTGGTCCCATTGCATCCCATCCCCACCCTCTCCCCCATGCTGTGCAGAGGCTTTTCCTGTGTATCTTCTGAGATTCTTGAATTGCTGATCCTTGAGTGCTTGAGGTGTCTCCTCTATCACCTATTGAGCTGAGATTTTTTTTTTCTTGCCTTTTAATTCTTTAACTGGCAGAGAAAATTAATTCGATCAAGACCCCTAGACTGCATCAATTTGGGAGATCCAGGTTTATATTCCCTGGTGAGGTGAGGTGGTGTGTGTGTGTGTGTGTGTGTGTGTGTGTGTGTGTGTGTGTGTGTGTGCTAGAGAGAGAAAGAGATCCCATTTTGAATTTGAATTTAAATATAAGTCCAACATCAGTCAAAATGTTCTGAATTAAAGAAAATGGGACACGAATAAAAGACTCAATTTTCAAAACCTCAGACAGTGGGAAGTTATACAGTTTCCCTGCTTGGTGAACTCACTTCAGCCTTTAGGGCAGTGGTCCTCAGCCTGTGGACCGCGACCTTCTTGGGAGGGTGGGGTGTAGAAGGACCCTTTCACAGGGGTCACATATCCGATGTCTTGTATATCAGATATTTACATTACGATTCATAACAGCGGCAAAATTACAGTTTTGAAGTTGCAACGAAAATAATGTTATGGTTGGGGTCACCAGAACATGAGGAACTACACTAAAGGGCTGCAGCATTATTAGGAAGGTTGAGAACCACTGCTTTAAGTTATGTGAGACTACAGCAATTTATTCTACATCTGAATCCTGAGGCCATTTCCGCCTAAGGGCGATAAAAACAAAACAAAACAAAACAAAAACAGGCTCAAAGATAAAAAACACAAAGTCTTTCCAAAACGCTCTGAGGACGATGCTCTTTGGGAGAGAAACTTTACAGGATTAGTATCAAAACACGGGAGTGAAACGCAGGTTTTCCTATGTGCGTTCCCAAGGGTTGGTGGGTTAGGTTCTCTACTCCCATGACCACAGCGTTAAGTCTGAGTTCCTCGGGAGGGAACGGGTGAAAACACTGTAGTCAAATCGAAAGAATCTGAGTTCCGGAGGAAGGCTGGAGAAAACAGGAAGTAGGCCTTGAAAACAAAAGATATACATATGCATTGGCCGGGAATCGAACCCGGGCCTCCCGCGTGGCAGGCGAGAATTCTACCACTGAACCACCAATGCCAGAGATAAACAACGCCTTTCAGTACTCCTATTTCACCTTATTTCTTCTCCTAGTTACACTTCTTATGTACTGAATTAATTTCTGAAAGCCGGCCTTCGTGGTTTAAGAATTAATTCTTTCAAGACAAGCCCCACACCACTATTTAAATTTTAGAAGCTTTGGTTCTGTTTGCGAGGCAACACGCGCCGGACTTTCTGAAGCTGGGGTGGGAGGGTATGGGGATGTCGGAGATGGGTTGGGTTGGGTGGAGGGGGCCCAGAGGAGTGGAGGGCGGACCTCGGCCTGGCTCCTGAGCAGAACCGCCCTCCAACTAGTAATAGGGAGAACTTGTTCACAGCATTGTTCCCTTGCCTTGGCGGCTGTCGCATACAGAAGCAGCCTGGAAGAACTGGAACTTTCTGTGTGGTTCTGTGCAGCAGCTCTGAACCCAAGTGGGGAATGGGGGTCAGCCACTCTGCTCTGTGCCTCTCTGGGCCGCTGGGTTCGAATTTTCTGCGGGAGTCAGCGCGGCTGGTTGTGGCTGGGTCGGAGGGCTCGGGTGGGAGCAGAAGGTGGGAGAAGGTTCTCGCCAGCGAGGGCAGGAGGAGGCGGGGCTCCCACATGGGATAAAAAGCCGGTGGCGCCGAAACTGACCGATCCCAGCTAGAATGGCCTGAGAGACAGCGAAAGAATGTTATTGCCGAGCAGTACCAACTCCCGCCACTTGGAGCGTCTCAGTCCTCTTCCAGCCTGACTGAGAGAAACCTTGTCTGTCCCTAGGGAAGCGGTACCTTGAAGATCAACTTCTTGTTCGAAGGTGTGAGCTTCTACACGTCCATCACTCATGCCCACTTTGAGGAACTGTATTCAGACCTTTTCTATAGCCCCCTGGAGCCTGTGGAGATGCCCCTGAGCGATGCCAAGTTGATCAAGGCCCAAACCCATGAGGTCATCCTATCGCTAAGGTGGAGAAGAATCTATAAGGCTTCTTCAACGTCAAGAATCTGAACAAGAACATTAACTGGATTAGCCTGTGGCCCATGGGGCTGCTATGCAGGTGGCTATGTGGATGGTAGACAAATGTAAGAAGGTGGATGTGGCTCCTTTGTCCCCTGGGGCTGGAGACGGTGAAGTGCCACTATCCTTACCAAACAGACCCAAACCTTCACTACTCTGACACGCAGCCTGAGTGGGGTCCCGATCCAGGTGCATGAGGGTGACAGGGTTGTGACGAAGAACAGCAGCCCGCTGGGCAGCTTTGAGCTCAGTAGCATTTCTCCTGCTCCACATGGGGTCCCCCAGGTCTAAGTAAATGTTGACATAGATGCCAATGGCATCTTAAGTGCGACAGCCACCGACAGGAGTCAGGCAAAGCTAACAAGATCACTGTCACCAATGACAAGGGCCAGCTCAGCAAGGAGGAGGTGGAGAGGATGGTGCATGGAACAGAACAGTACAAGACTGAGGGTGAGGTCCAGAGGGACAGAGTGGCTGCCAAGAACTTCCCGGAAGTCCATGTCTTCCACATAAAGAGTCCCTTGCAAGAAGATAGCCAACGGGAAAAGATTCCAGAAGAGGACAGATGCAAAGGGCAAGACAAGCATTAGGAAGTCCTGGGCCTGGTAGAGCACAACCGGTTGGCAGGCAAGGAGTGTATGCATCAGAAGAGGGTAATGAAATATACTTGTTGCTCCATCTTCTGTAGGTTTTATGTGGGGCCCAGTGTTCCCAGGGGTAGCAGTAGTGAGGTTCGAACTTGCCAGGGGAGGCCTAGTACTGACCCCATAACAGAGGAAGTCGATTGAATGACCTGTCATGATACATCATCTATGTCTGTAAGGGCTGTACTTAACGAGTTTTCTAGACTCTTCTATAACCCTACCTTATATATCTTCAGAGATTAATGGAGGTATCTTGCCCTGGAAGGTGGGAGCTTTCCTTCTCATTATGTTTTGCAGTTGAGGTCTGTGTTGTTTGATTTTGTTTGTTTGTTTTTAAGTTCATTTCTTGTCAGATGTGATGGTGCACAACTTTAATCCCAGCACTCAGGAGGCCCAGGCAGAACTATCTCTGAATTCAAGGCCATCCTGATCTACATAGCAAGTTCTAGGACAGCCAGGGCTATGTGGAGGGACCCTGTCTCAAAAAACAAACAAATAGACAAACCCACTTCTCCCATTTAAAAACAACAACAACAAACAAACAAAACAAAACAAAAAGCTATTTTGCCATGAATGTTCGTGTGGCATTTTGCCACTGCCTTTATCTATATTTCATTTAATTTGCAGTTGCATGAATTGAATTTTTTATGTGCAATGTAGTTGTAGATCTAATAAAGTTTTTTTTTTTTTTAAATCCCACTTTGTTTATATTCCAACCAGTTAAGTAGATGATCAGGCTCAGTTTTCAGAAGCATTTTTGGAGTAGATGTTGAAGGAGGTTGTGAAGGAAATCCACACGGCTATATGCAAGGTATCTTTCTTTAAAATTCATTCCGAGGCTAGACTGGTCAACAGAGCAATTTCCAGGACAGCCAAGGTTACACAGAGAAACCCTGTCTCAAAAAACCAAAAGCAGGATCCACTTTCATTATTTTTAATTGTGTGTGGAGGGGAAAGGGGGATATGCATATGAGTGCTGGTGCCCTTGGAGGCCAGAGGTATGGGATCCCCCTGGAGCTGGAGTTACAAGCAGTTGTGAACCATCTGATGTGGAATGTGAGACCCAAACTCAGGTCCTCTATAACAGCAATATGCACTCTTAACTGAACCTGGTCTTCAGCCCTTAAAATAATTTCTCCTTTCTTTCTTTTTTCAGCTTTGTATAGAAAGCACTGGGCTTTGTTATGGCATCTTCATGCATCCATACCTTTCTTCTTTCTTCTCACTCATTACTTCCCAACTACCCCCCCCCCCACACACACACACATACACAAAGCTGGTTCCTTTTCTTCCCATAGTTTCCCTTCTGCTTTCTTACTACATTATTTCATTGTTCCTTCCCCTATTTTACTTAAGATCTCTTCTTTTCTCATGTTCCCCTTTCCAGTTTTGTGACCACCCAAGTCTGCAGGTATGTTAGAGTAGGCCAGGGGAGGTAATCAAACTTAGATTAGTCCTGTCTCTGTGAGAGAAATAGCATGGTCTCATGTGGTTTCTGATGAGGTTAGGAGTGGAGCAGGAAGTTAATGATATCAACACACCAGACTGCTTAGCATTTCAGCTCTGCCATAAACTACTCCAGACTTCAATATTCCCTTCAACATAGTGGAATATGGCAATAGCACTCCTCTGTATTGTTGTGAGGGATCGATAGATGTAAGAGGTGGAGAAGAATGTTAGACATTTAGCACATTGCTGACAAACATAAGTTCTTACTAGTTATTCTTTGAGTATTGACTAGGTAACGGATATTTGGTACACACAACTAATCCAATAGCGATATCATGGGGCATTACTGTTATTACACACATAGCAGAAGTGTGAAAGTCAGAGGACAACTTTGTGGAGTTGGTTCTCGCCTTTAGGTAACTTTTGGATAGAACTCATTAGATTTCTGTGCTGAGCCATCTTATTTAGAGATGAATATTCTAAAGCACAGAGAGGTCAAACAATTTGATCAAGGACATATAGTTATTATAGGAATAGAGAGATGGATAGCTTGACTTAAAGACCCATTCTCAAGTGACTAAAACTGGGGAAATATCCTCCAGCTCAGCCAAGCAAATGGCAAGGATAAGCTTGCCTGGCTTCATTCCCATTCAGTCCATTCCACCTCTGTCTATTTCCTGAGCTGTGGGATGCTTCACCCACAGAAAGGAAAGTGAGCTTGCCTAGAGCAATGCTTCATTATATTGAGTCGGATAATCTCTTTCTGGTAGAGAGGTTACACTAACAAGCTACTTGTCCCTGGATGTCATTTTTAACTGTGTTATTTGTTTATCTGAATTTGATCCACATGCTTTGCAATCTGGCTTTACATTAAAATCAACTGTTAGTGTGTGTGTGTGGGGGGGGGAGCATTGAAGACAGGTCAAGAAAGAGAGTTGCATAAAGCAACCCCCTTCCTTTCTTTTTAACTTATAACATTAACTACTTCAACTTGTTCTTCTAGGGAGGGATGATGATGTGGAATTTCAGGATTCTTAGCATTCAACAGCATACTTTTCTCTTTTAAGCATATATATATGTATATATGCTTAAATATATACATATTTGTTGTAAAAAAACACCCCCAAATCCTCCAAAATGGGTAGTATTAATTTTCTATAGCAAAATTTAAGTAAATTAAGTTCTGCATCTATTTTCAAGTGGCCATTGCTGACCATTTTGGTTTAGTTTGTTTGAAAAGTTTCTTATGTAACTGGCCATTACAGACCTTTCGGTTGTATGATACAGTCTTAGGGCGTTTGCGTAGCCTTAGGAACTAACCTGTCAGGAGGCAATAAGGGAATGAAGAAAAGACAAATAAAAACATATAGATATGGACACCTAGAAAAGCTAGGGTCAAGTGGATTAGGCTCTTTGATAGAGAAACCACAACACCCAGGCAACTCAGTGTTTTTGTTATGTACAGTTAAACAGTGAGTGAGGTTATTGATACAGCTTAATGAGGAGGCAGACTAAAGTAATCTCACCAGGAGCAGTCTCTTTAGGGAGCAGTCTTAGGCCTTAAACATCCGGGGGAGAGAGTTATGGTGGGCCTTTTCTGTACATACCGTCAACATCTATACTCAGAGCAGAGGAAGGCTTTGCCATCCCTTTGAGCTTGTGTCTCCCACAGCCCTTGACATGGCTGTATCCATGTCAACCACACATATTCACTCAGGACTTCAATAACTCAGGACTTCCTCCACCCCTACAGTCTTATCTTTGATTATTATAAATCACAACTATGTTTACTCAATTCTTCAAACAATTAAAACAAATTAAATCAGCATACACACCCATTATTAAGAAATCAAATACTGCTATGGGTAGTTTATTGCCCTGTTTCCAATTCTTCCTCATAGGCAATCATTTTTTTTCTTTTTCTTTTTTAGTTTTTGAGTAATTTTATATTAATAGAGGAATTGCAAAGATACCATGAAAAATTACTACATATCTACCAGCCAACTTCTCCTAATGTTAAGATGTTATATAACCACGACACACCAAACGTCAGAAAAATGTCATTGGAAAACTATTACTAATTAAACTGTTGACTTTATCCAGGTTTCACATTTCCTACTAATGAGTCCCTTTTCTGTTTCAGAAGTCAATGTTGGACATCACATACACTGATTAATCATGCTTCCTAAACTCTTTATCCTGTGTGATAGTTCCACAGTGTTATTTTTCATGATTTTGAGGTTTTTATAGATAAGTTAGGTATTTTATAAATGATCTCTTACTTTTGATTTGTGTGATTTTATTTTTTTTAAATGTTATTTTTCTATGTGTATTTGTGAGCATTAGCCTGAGGCCAGAAGAGGGTACTGTTGGATTCCTAGAGCTTGAGTTACAGTTGGTGGTGAGGTGTCTGATATGGGTACTGACAACCAAGCTTAGGTCATCTGGAACAGCAGCAAGCGCACTTAACTGCTGAGACGTGTCTCCAGGCCTGACTGTCTAACTTAAAATATATTTTTATTAAATTTGTTCTTTTACAAGACATGTGCTTTCTTTGTGATCTCCTAGAAAAGAGGTGTCATGAAGACTAGTTTTCTCAGTTCTGCTGTATGAAATAGCACATCCGTTTAAACAGCAAATCTATTAAAATTAGGATTGGAGGTGGGGTTGGGAAAGGCGATAATTTTATGCTTACAAAGGTTTGATTGCATTTTTTCAGCATTGAAAGAGTTGGCGCAATTGTAACAAATTAAAAGATATTGGGTTTAGGGAATTTTTTAAATATTCTTTTTTCCAAAGCATAAACAACAGTGAAGGGATTGTGACAGGGAGAAAATGTGATATTGTCAGAAGTGGGATTCGAACCCACGCCTCCAGGGGAGACTGCGACCTGAACGCAGCGCCTTAGACCGCTCGGCCATCCTGACATGGGGGGAAACACTTTCCATACTTTCTTATAAGCTTATCAGTACTGTTGACGCAACTATCACCTGATTTCGTTTGTTTATGGTTTCAAATAAAAAGAAACACTAACTCTCCCGGAACGCTTTACAAAGCAAGAGAAGTGAAAGTGGGTTACAGGTCGTTTTTATCTCCCACTTCCTCATCACTTTAAATTTTTTATGTCTTCTGCGGACCGTGCGGTCTCCTCTTGTCCAGAGGACCGAGTCAGGCCAGGGAGGCTCTCCTACCGGTTACCTTCCTTCCTAACTCGCCTAAGCGAGGCCGGGCCGGGTGACTCTGGGTACTGCCTGGCGGAGCTAAGTGGGTGCGAAGCCCAGAGCTGGGAATGTAAGGTCGGACTGTGAGCAGCTGAGAAGCAGAGGAGGTGTTTTTCACCGGGTGGACGCTGGGTTTTCTCACGGGATCCACTCTTAGGCTGATAGAAGGCAGATTCAAGACGCCGTCGGCAAATTTCTCACTTGCATTAGGGAGACTAGAGTACCCTAGTATTTGTGCTGCGTTGGTGGTATAGTGGTGAGCATAGCTGCCTTCCAAGCAGTTGACCCGGGTTCGATTCCCGGCCAACGCATCTCATCTTTTTCCTTCCAGTCCCATACAGTATTCTATTTTGTATCTTTGAATAAAATCAGTCCCGTCAAATCCGGTCCGGATTATATTCCTGAAGATATTTCATCTTTTTTTATTTTGAGAATCTTCAGGGGTCTGGGATCTCTTGTTAGAATATCGTACAC